AAAAAAATCACTTAATTTATTAACAATATAAGAAAGTAAAAAACTTGAATTGTAAAGAACAAACTCTTTGATTCACAACTTATACCACAATCTATTTGAAATTTTTGATTTATAAAAAGCTCATATTGTAAACATTAACACAATAATTTCTGAAATACAACAATCTGATGTAAGGTGAGGTGTAAAAAAGTAAGAGCCAATCTTATTTTTTAGGGTTAAGAGTTTGAAATTTTAGACTAATTCCTACAAAAATTAGGATTTTTAGATTTTATACGTTTTTTCAGCCTATATATATATATATATATATATATATTTTATTTTTTTTAAAATTAGTTCCACTCGAGTACCCATGGTTCCGGTTGAGGAACTAAGAATCGAACCGAACCTAATCGATTATCGGTTTCGATTTGGAAGATTCAGTTTCGATTAAAATGCCCAGGCCAATGGCTTGTCTAGGAGTAGTAATACTTATATCTAGTTGAATTTTTATAATTAATAAGAGTAAGATGTTTTGCTTGATTATCAACCAAAAGAAAGTTATATATAGGATTAGAAGACATTGAGCTTTGGATGGTTCTTGTCCTCGTGACAAATCGTGAGGATACTAGCTTATTTAAAGTGGAGAGTTGAGGATCAATTTACTATTTGTACAATATTGTGGTGACCAATTATTAAATTCCCCAAACCTATAAAGTTTTTTCCACTTTTTAGTTTTTATCAATTGAAGAAATCAAGAATTTTTTATGTCAATGTTTTCTATTGAAGCAAAATTGTTATAATTAATGTGTACTTGTTTTCTATTTAAGTATTGGCTCGATGGCACTTCTTTACCTACCAGGCCTTTGTTTTAGTATTCGATATTGTAATGTATTTCATTAAATGTGACAAGTGCCCTTGATAAGAATCTAATAAAAGAATTACTCTGATGCACAATATATCCTCTAATAAAAAATAAATATCGTGGAAAGTTATTTTGAACAATTTTACATTAACTAATTTGAGTTGCCCGTGCTTGGCTAATGTTAATAAACAGTTTATAATTGGTCAATCACTTCCCTTTTTCCTTACATTTTGTATAATTTAAAACTATTATGTATTTATTCATCACTCATTATTAATTATTCATAATTAAACTGTTTATAAACACTTCTCAAACATGAACAAAGAATTTTAGTTTTGAGCAAACAATAGGAAAGCTTTGAGGCAAGTAACTATTGTCGTATATTTTTTTTCTTTTTTTTTTTTATCAAAAATTATAGAAACGATTAATGTTAAAATTTGGATAAGTTTGACCTCGATGAACGAGCAATCACTTGTGTCCCTAAACCCTTAAAAGAAATGGCGCTTATTTCCCCGACTAACAGAACTCTTGAATGTTAAATGGTTGTGTAATGTTGGAGATGGATTGAAATGAGAGAAGAAATTTCATGAACAGTGACAAGTTTTACCCTATTCGTATATATCTAATAAAAGTTATAATCACTGTTTGGTTTATTTTAAATAGGAAAAATCATTTTGAAGAATTTAACTCTTTCAACTCGTCGTCAGATGAGTGTCACATGATGATTTTAACCTTCAAATAAATGTTTTGCGTTGCAGGGGCATGAGTTTCGCAATTTAAAAGGTTGAGGACATGAGAAAAATAATTGGTAAGTTGGGACATGAATGTCAGACTTATGAAAGGTTGGGGACCTCTAATGTAATTTATCCTCGAGTAAAACAATAATATACCTTTTGTTTAACAAGGACGATTCTGTAATTATTGAATAAGTAGAAAATATCAGCAGTGTATAAAGGCCATGTAACGTCATCCGAGCGCCATTTCTCATTCAGGGTGTGAAAGTGTGGTTTTTGTGTTTTTCTCTGTAGAAGAAGCATCAATGGCGCGAGGCAGAATCCGAAAGGTTTTCTCTTTTTTCTCTGATTTTTTTGGGCCCAACTGCCTACTTGTTTTTTATATATACTTCAACATTTTCTCTTTGCCTCCTCTCGTTTTTAATCCTTTATATTGATTTTTGATTTTGATGTTTAGCGCCGGTTAACGAGAATGGATGCGGCTATTGACGCCATGACTTCATATGGTTTCTCGGAAAATCTTATAAGGAAGATAGTAAGAGAACTTCTCAAGGTACACGTTGAATTATTTGTACCTTTTTTATTTTCCTGTTACTGCCATTTCATTTTCCTTCGAAAACTGAGAGAAAACAAGAGAGGTTCTGTTTGTTTTTACAAAAATGTGGGTTTTATTTGAGTTGTCGAGCGTCAAAGTTTCTGGAAGATAAAACAGATTAGGGTTTTGTTTGGTTGGCGGTTTTATTTTATTTTCTATTTTTCATAATTGAAGGCAATAAGACTGGGAAACTAAATGAGAATGGAGCTAAGTTCTCATCGTTTTTGCTAAAATAAATTTCTCGAATATGAATCGAATTACATTGGGAGCACTGGAGAATCAATGATATGGGAAATAAAAGTATCAATTTGTTACATTTATGTGGCTGTGTGATGCTAATGTAGCGTAACTGTGAGTAAAAAATGATTTTACACGATTAGTGATTTCCATAATTTTTCAACGAAGGAATATGGGGGAGATGAAGCATGGTTTTTCATTGAGCAAGACTCATATGAAGTACTACGCGAGGCACTTCTGCGCGATGTAGAAGAAAATGATCAAGAGAAAAGTGCACAGGATGAAAACCACACGAAGGTATCGATTGATGGCACTTCCGTATTTCTTTGCCTAATTATGATTTCACTTGGTTCATCAAACTTTTCTGTTTGTTGATGGTGAGATTGAAATTTGAGTGATGTCACCTAAATGGAATGCTATTTTGGCATGATCTCCAACAGCCATTCACTCAATTGTTTTCAGTGTAGGTGCTTTTGTAGTGAAAGTTATGAGGATTTTGCTTGTTTGCAAGTTCAACAAAGTAGAGAATGTTAACAACATTTAATAAAGCGAAGCAGAAATTGTTAAAAAAATATATTTATGACTGAAATCTTGCATTTTGTGGTGACAATAATTATCCAATTGATTGGAAAAATGTCGCTGTTATGCATGAGTAGTGGACTCCAAAAATTGCATTTGCATCTTAGATGAAATAGTATAATGGCCTTATTAAATCCCCAAGATTTTATATTTTCCCCTTTGTAGTTCTTCCATATACTTATGATTGCATAAACAGAACTAAATTAGACTTTCATGTGGGACGACTAATGCTATATTTTACTTTTTCTTTTCCTTTGTCATTTTGTTGGTCTGCCAACAATAAGAACAAACTACATCTTAATTCGAAAAATTTGGAACTATTCTTCCTTTGTCATTTTATTGATCTTCCAACAGTAAGAGCAAATTACAGCTTATTTTCAACAAATTTGGGTTCGTTACCTTTAACCTTTTTCCTCGCTTTGTTGTTTATTGCTTCATCCAGCATAAAAATTTTCGTTGATCTATCAAGAGATATTCAGATGAAAGAATTCATTAATCAGATTACTATAAAATAGGAGAACAGTAACCAGATTTATGTAAGGAAAGCATCCATGGATTAGTGCCTTTCCGGGAACAACTTGCCTCATAAGAGACCTGTGGGCACTCACTTCCCTTTTGGGTTATTGTTCAAATATAAGTTTCTCATTGTCTAGCATTTAAAATCTTAATTCGTTGTTTTGGGGATCTTGGTTAAAGGAGTCTTTGGATGGGGGTGGAAAATGTTTGTCCTTATGTATAAATGAAATGTACTTTTGGCCATATTTGACAGATTGAGGGCTAGGTTTCATTGACAATGATAGTAAGGTGAGAAGTTGATCGTTGCTTGTGGTGATGACTACAGCTACTGATGGCTATCTTGTGGGCCTTGTAAAAAGTGATAAAGTAGTGATCAAGTCTTTGATGAGATAAGTTGATCATCGCTTGACAACCACTGATGGCTATCTTGTGGGCCTTGTAAAAAGTAACAAAGTAGTGATCAGGTCTTTGTTGCACCAATAGTTGGATGGCACTTAATTTCAGCTGTTTGGATCTTCTTTAAAGAGTCCACTTCTAGAGCTGTTGCATTTTGATGAGAGATTAAATTTAGTCATGACCTTTCCTAGCAGTCACTTGTTTTCTTCTTTGAGTTCTGCACCAAGTATTGCGAGATGTCACCATTATTTTGTTTAGAGATGAAAACAAATTGAAAGAGATGGAAGGTTGAGTCAAAAGTATGGATTGATATCCTTTTCTTCGTTTGATTTGGTCATAACTCAGGAGAAAAAATACTTCATAAACTCCTTCCAACTTCTCTCAGATTTCTTGTTTACAACAATGCTGAGTTCTGGATATACTTCTTTTTCAAATTTCGTTTATGATCTAATTTTAAAGTTAGAAAGGAAATATTTATCGACTTCTTTTTTACTTTTTTTCATCACTCTACGTTTGAGCTTACGTGCTGTAACACATGGAGGTACGTCCATCTATATGTACGATATGAAACCTTTATTAACTTGTAATTTTTTAGTAATTCCTGTGCACTTGGAACAATAACCAATCACCGACGATATGAGATCATTGACTTCCTGATATTTATTTTGGCTTTCTAATGTATAAATCATTTCTCCTTGGACCTCCTTTTGTCATGTAGGATCTCCTAATGGAAATATTGTAAAGAGCCATATTTACATGCAATGGTTTTTGTTTACAGAACGAGTCGAAGGATGAAACATCAGCTGGGGATTGCGGTGTAGCTACGGACTCCCCACAAGATGCTGAAATACCTGAAGATGCTTCAGTAGATGCTGTGGGGTCCTCTTCTATTGTAAAACTTGCGTGTGCTGAAGGTGTCAGTATTTCATCTGGGATTGATTCAGGTTACAAATAATATTTTCAGACCTGCTATATGTGATGCCCTGGCCCTCACAAGAGGGGGCCCACGATTTTTTTTATTTGTCGCCCCCCCCCTTCCCCCCAGTCTGTACACCGGGTTGTCAACCCCCGTGTACAAATAGATTTATCCTAATATTTTTTCTTCCTAACCTGGATTATACATTAGCCGGCAGTGAAAGCATTACTAATTTAACCTAGAAAATTCTTTATACATGAACCAGACATGCTTAACTGGCATTAGGATTTTGAAATGTAGACTATTTCTGATCTTGGGTAAATATTCTTGTGCCAGCTGAAGAAAATGGAAAGGACTGGAAGGATATTTGTTTGGATCAGCGTGGTCTTAGAACTGGAAAGAGTACAATCCCTTCACCATTAATGATTCCTTCCCCAACCCCAATCCCCAGGCGTCGTGGACCATGCTATGGTTGGCTTGAGAGTGACGAGGAAGACGACCCCAATGATATTATCTCTTTCCCCATGCAAGTAGAATCAACGCCAACAGTACTGCATCTTGCCATCGTAGAAAACTTCTCTCGTGTTGAGACTAATTCAAAGGCGAAGCGCAAGTCAAGATGGGACGTGAAACCTGATGATCCCTAATTCATTTTCCTATTTCACATGGCTGTAAATGTGCTTCATGTCTATACCATTTTAACTTTCATGGCAAACTTGATCTGGTAGTACAAAAAATATTGTAAATTTTTGTAGATCTTGACCAACTTTTTACAGTGTAATTGGGCTGCTTATCTTACTTCTTGCTGATTTAGCCCTCATGTGGTCCCATTTACGTATAATATTATTTTATAGGTAATTAGCACAAAATATCTTTACCTTTCATGATTTTTGTAAAAAACGTCTCTACCTTTCGTTTTTTGGCGCATTTCATTCCTACCTTTACCTTGTGGAAAATGTCATTTTCATCATTTTTCTCAATAAAAAGTTATAAAATGACTAATATACCCTTCTATTTAAATAAAAAAAATAAAGAATTAAGTGTAATCATAGTTCAAATTTTTAAAAAAGTTCAAAAGAGGAAGTGGAGCGGAGAATTTTTTTATTTGGAACTACGATTGTATTTAGTTCTTTATTTTTTAAAATTTAAATAGAATGGTATATTAGTCACTTTATAACTTTTTATTGAGAAAAATAATGAAAATGATGTTTTGCACAAGAAAGGGTAAAGGTAGGGATGAAATACGTCAAAAAATGAAAGGTATGAACGTTTTTCACGAAAATCATGAAAGGTAGGGACGTTTTGTGCTAATTACTCTTATTTCATTGAAAATTGTGCAATTGAAAATAAGAGAGAAAAATTTAATTTAATTTGATGAAATGTAGTGGGGCTAAACGGGGGCTTAGATTATCATGGAAATTCTTCTCATTCTAGTTAATTTTTAATTAGTTTACTCATTAAATAAGACACGTGCAATAAAATAGAAAGATTGAGGATTAATATGTCTTGATTTAAAGGTGGAGGATCAACTAGCTATAATTCTGTAAATTGGGGATAGATGCAAAATTTACTAAATGAAAAGTTCAGATTTTAACCCAATTTTGCAGAAAAATTGAACAAGGACCCAAGTACTAAATTTCATAAAGATTAGGGATCTAACTATTAATTTCCCATAAGAATTCCGCAATTCTGAAGAATTTGGGCGAAACGCTCAACGGTGCAGGGTTTAAGGCTTAGCTTAAGAAGACCTTATATTTTCGGATCCCAAAGAAAAAAAATCAAAGACATGGCCGTCGCCGCTGCTTCCTTCGCCGCCAGATCTGTATTCCGGTCGTCCTCAGTTCGTAGCGCCGCCACCAGGTTCGGCTCCCAAGCGAAGGCTGCTCGCTTCCCCTTCCGCCGTCCTTCCAGGAACCCCCTGGCTCACCGCATCTTCCGGTAACCATAACCTATTCCTATCTATATTTATGAAGATTCGAATTTTAATTACGTTTGGATTTTGTAGCATATGTAAATTATGCATTTTTAATTTGAGGGTTTTTCTTTTTATTTGATATATTTTGGTTGAACAAATTTGAAGGTGTCCTGCTGAGATGAGTGCGTGTGTGGGCTCAATGCTACCCTACCATAGCGCCACTGCCTCGGCATTGATGACGTCGATGCTAACTGTCTCTCGCTGCGGTTACGGTTGGCTTCCTGAAGGTAATTTGCTGTTTTTCTAACTGTGCCTGGTAGCCTTTATGTGCGTTTTGTATAAGCAATGAATGGTAACCCGATGCTTAAATTATGCCTTGGTTTAAAGTTGCATTGCATTGAATTGGTAAAACAATACATGCATTGAGTATTTACAGTAATTTGATTCTTGTACTCGTACTTATTTGATATTGTCAATGACCTGTGCTTTTCCCATTGAGCTTATGTGGTGTTATTTTGACGAATTGTTGCTGTTTCATTATTACACTTCTAAATTAGATACAGCTGTTCAAATATTTGTGAATATGAATCTAATAATTCTTAAAAATGATCCAATAAAATGTGTGGCACACCTCTCTCTTTCTCTATGTTTTCATTTTGTGTGTGTGTGTGTGTGTGTGTAAGTTTGGGGATGAAAGGGCACAGATTTGGTTTGGTGGTGACTCCGTTTCAATATTTTTCTTAATCAGCACAGATTTTTTTTATTTTTTTTCCTGAGCAAAACAAGTAGGAAAAGATCAAATCTGATTTAATATCACTCGTATCATCTGTGATTGGTCAAATTGTAGCACTTTCTCCGATTAGGATTGTCGTAAAAATGAATTTGACCAAGTATATGACAATGGACATCGTGCCCTTGGTTCAAAAATGTTTTACGAAGTCATAAACCAATATTTGTTAAAACTATTCATTGTATTGCCGTTAGAAGACGCTAGCCATTTCTCCAATAACATGTATCTTGTAGAGGGGGATTTCCACAATCAATTCAGAATCTTGATAGCCACCATCCGATAGTGCACATATTGTTTCGTCTTATTTTTGCATGTCAAACTATTTTCCTCTGACAGTTCTTTTGAAATGTTAATGAGAATGTAGGGATTGTTGTCTTTGGAATGATAGTCCTGACTGTCTATGCACCCCTATCCTTTATAACCGAGGGTTCATTTAGGCTCTTAGCCGGTGATTGGGCTGTTTTTCCACTTGGAATTTATTTTTAAATTTCCTACACATAATTACCACGACAGCAACTCAATTTTTTTTTTTTTTTTAAACTTTTGTTGGAATCGAAATACCTAACCTAACTAATAAGAAATTACCACGATAGTTCCCAACAGATGGGATTATTGGCACTTGGTTCCCTTATTTTTTTTTTTTTTGCATATAGGTAAACAACTTTCAATGATATAGCAAAGAGGTCCTTTTGGACAGCTTCACCAGCATTAAGTGTTGGTGAAAGGACATTTTTTCCTGCACATTCAAATGATAAAAAATAGAAATACTGAAGATGAAATTAAGCCCTTGTTTGGTTTAGCTAAAAATCACATTTTTAGTAGATTTTAATAAAGTTGATGAAATGTGTAGTTAAAAAGTTGATTAAGTTGTGGGTCCCATGAAATGTGTGATTGAAAATGAGTTTGAAGAGAATGATTTTAGGAAATGGGGGTCAAACAAGGTCTAAATAAAAAAGAAATTGATGTTTTTTCTAGGGAAATTGAATTTTGAATCCCATATTCCAAGAGGAAAAAAGAAAGGAATGGAAACCTAAATGCCATTGATCCCAAAGGTTAGGGGACCATGGCTGTAATTGTCTTACACATGTATAACCTTGTGTTTTCTTTCTCCTTTATTCATAAACCCGTATTGTTCTATGAGATTTCTTTTACCCCTGCTTTTTGTAAAATTCATTAAAGGTAGCCTAACCAATGGGTTTTTATTCTTTCTTTAGATATCTAGCGACACCTGTAGGGCCCTCGTTTGCTGTTCTGTTCCATCATTCACATCTCCGGTAAGTTAGTTTCATCAACGACGTTCTAATGTTAATGGAAGCATAGTAGGTGCCTTCTGTAGTCTTTAGGCTTCTGCACAGTCTAGCAGCAGATAGCACATCCTTCCAATTCGTCCTTGCTTTCCTTCCTCTTTACACACTTCCCTCTCACGGATGATGAGATTGAGTTCCTTAAATAATATTTGAAATAGCTATATCATCTTGTTATTGGATACTAATAGAAATATTAGATGAATATGTTAAGAGAGAATTAGAATTTGGAGAAAAGAAGACGATGATCTCAGCCCAATTGTGATGTATCCATATTCTGATATATACAATTACGAAGGATTATTTTATGCAAGAAACTATACGCTTGTCACCTATATATACATTGGTAAGAAGAGAATAAAATCTGTACAGAAAATAGCTAAAGGACAAAAAGTGAAATTAATCCTGGAGCTAAATAAACACTAATAAAGAATTAGCCTTGACTATCAACCTTTTGTCATACTGCATTTCAGGAGTAGTCATTAATGATGATTTCTATTTCCTTATGCCTATTTCCTCATTTGACCAAGAAGGCTTTTCATTCTTCCTGTTGTAGGCCTTAACAAGACTAGATGATGATGGAGAAGCAAAAAGGAATTACTTTGCTTGCTTTGTGTGTCAGAGCTTTGTTTTCTAGAGGACACTGCTTTAAATAGAAATGACCTTTCTTGGCTACTTTTAAATATGAATAAAATTCTCCTCTGTGATCTTTAAATTAACATGGGGATTAACTCTATTCTCTGGAGTTTCTTTAATGGTTATATTAATTCTTTCTACGCTGTAGTATGTTTGTTTTCAAATTCTTCCTTCTCACAAGAAACATTCTTCCATTGGTAGTTGTATTTCTCAAGTATATTGGAAAAATATTGAATATTTTACTCGCTGAACTGGGGCAGTATTTCCGATTCGTTTTTAGTTGTTGAAGATCCACTTCGAAGTAGGCATGATTAACATAGGATAACCTTTTGAAGTAAATTGATTAGGATTGAAATTTACCTTTTTTCAGTTGCCAATGATGATGCGTGATGAATTTTTTGGAGGGCAAGGATTATTTGATGTACAAATTTGTCTTTGAACGTGGATGTAGAGGCTTGAGATAATTTGAATGAGCTGCGAATGGGCCCCTTTGGATTTCACTGCTTCCAGACTTAATCTAACTTCTAGTCGTTGCTCTTTTAATATTGAGATAGATATTCTGAAATCCGTTCGTTTTGATGTTAAATGTAACTTTAGACATTAATCTGTGTGCATAATTTTCTAAGGTGTAGTTTTGCCTTTTTGTGCATTCGATGTCAATGCTGATAGCATACTCAATATATTTTACTGATTTTTAATATATCAATCAGCTTGCAATGACCTGTGATCAGCATCATCCTTCAAGGCTTCCAGCAAGGTTTTCCATTCAAAACTGTGCATGCTGGAAGTTTATGAGCCAGATGTATTAAATAAGGCCGCTATCATCTTTATTTTTTTGGTGGGATAGTCCAGGGGTTTTTGGTTGAACCATATTGTCATATGCTGCTGTAATGACTTCCAACTGGCTGTAAAATAATTGCCGATACTTTTTGATTCCTAAGACATATTTGACATCAATTGGCTATTGAAAGCAAATTGATCTTTAATGGATGCACACTAAATCGGAATCTACCCTTCTTATAGCAGGCTTTGATGATGCATGAGATTTGATAAGTGATTCTACACCACTGGGAACTGAATTTTTCACTTCTTGGAATCTCCTTTCGAACTTTGGTGTTCTGTTTGATGTTAAAAATTTTCTTTAGACAATGATTGCTTGAAACTTTTTTCAGTCTGTACTCCTGCTTTTTAAATTCCTTGGTTCTGTGTTCATTTATTGTCTTGGGTGGAACCTTGAAACCTGATGCTCGTACTGTTGATTTGAATGATAGTTTCCTTGGCCACGGAGATCTTACACTGTTCTAATAGGCAACAATAGTAGAAAATAGGCTCAATTTCACTGCTCTAATAGGCGACAAATCTTCTAAAGTAACAACCTTTGCTTTTCACTTCCGGTAACGTCATTTTATCCACATGCGAAGGGGGTGTGTGCATATCAAACAAGAGTGGAGAGATTATACATTTATATATCTATACCAAGAAACCTATTACAGAAGAGAGGCGAGTAGCCCATGTCTTCAGAAAGGTGCATTGAACTTATTAAAATGATTGATCAAACTCTCATCAGCTCGAGGAGATTAGTACAATTTGTATATATGCAATGATGTATATAGACAGATTACTTTTGGGATCCAATATCAACTGCAACAAATGCCTGTGATTGTTGCTGCTCTTGTTTTTCTTCTTCTATTTCCTCTTCAACCTTTTCTCCCGATGAATATTGTCGACAGTATCTTACATATAGGAATGCTGCAACAAGCAATAAAACAAACATGTTAAATAAGTTGCAAATCTTATGCAAGAAATCAAACCCTTAAAAAAATCGTTTAGGCTTATTTGGTACTCGATACTGAATGGTAGACAAATGTACAATGGAAATAAATGTGCATAATTACCGGCAAAAATTCGGGTTCTCATGGAAGTCAGATTCCAAAAAGCAGTCACAACTGATGCTGCTACAATCTGCTACATTCCCCATGCCTCCAGCACCCAAGACTTC